TTCATCACATGCTCACTGGTCTGAGCGGCCACAAGAGCCCACTGTGAGCTGAAGGACCCATCTCAAGAGCGCTGCTGAACAGAACAGAGGGAGCATGAGGTCTCAGTGCACCTGTTCCACGGGCTTTCTCTAGGGGAAAGTGAGGCCCCGTGGGAAATGGCGGGAAGACTGCCTGGGATGGCGGAGCGTCAGCTGGCACGTAGAGATGGTTCTTTGGGGCCATGGGACAGTGGCCCTGGGCAGAACTTATGCAGGGCCGGGTCAAGCCAGGGAAAGCCTATCAGCCTGCAGCAGCTGATGCAACTCTCTCTCTAGTGGCATCTTCCCAGACACAATCATGGGATGTTCACAAGGGTGAATACAATAGGCATGGGGCCAACAAAAAATACCGAGAGATTATTCTTATTTATCCTGGGAAACTGGTGGATGGTAGGAGCAGTGTTTCAGGCTTTTGCCTCCATTAATCACGTTCTTGTGTGATTTAATGCTGGCTTCCAAGGGTCAGGTGGGTCTCTCCTTCTAGCTCTCTGAGGCCCTTTGATTATGGGGAGAGCAGCTGCCAGGCTGATGGCTACTAAGCCTGACTCACACTTGGCCCTCGGTGTTGCCTGTGATAATTGCAGCATCAAATTCAACTTCAGATTTAAATGACTACACTTAGATAGAGGTAGGTGGGGAGAGAACAGGGTGGAGAGGTAAAAGGGTCTGTCTTTCTGAAATTGCTTATGGTATAAGGGGCGACTTTTAAATTAGAGGAATCTTTCAGTGGATAGGTTTTCCTTGTACAAAAGAAAGCCAGTCTTTCCCTGCAAAACATTAAGAAGGAAACGCTCTGGAAATGAAGCTGAATATGCAGTGGACTCCACCAGGCGGAAAGTATTTTATGTTGATTTTCTCATCTCTGCTTGGCATAGAAAAGATACTGCCTTCCACCCCTATTCCCCCTTAACATGTTATCTACTGACTGGTCTGATCAAAAACACCCTGAGCTGTTAAAATGATTTCTATATTCAACACACAACAGGATGCTAGTGAGATAGGTCCCTGTGAAAGGAGAGACACAATTACTTGCAATCAAATAATTTAAAATCCTAGATCAGTATATAAAGAAACCCACAAATTTCTGATGGAAATTTTGCAGCAAGCACTTTGGTGTCAAATGAAAAAGATGTCTTCCAGAATCTGGTTCTCCTCCAGGTCTTCGGGGGTCCTGCCTGCCCCCATCTTGTTCCGGGTCGATTTTAGAGGACTGAGTCGGCGAGTGCTGTGATTCCAGGCCCCAGATTCTCTGGAGGCATGGGGCTGAGGTTTGGGAGCAGACTTTGGGCTCAGAGACTGGACCAGATCCAACAGAGATGTCTCATACCTGTAACACACACAGCCCAGACAGAAAATGATCAGACCAGTAGAACATTAGAATCCAAGAGGCCCATAGAGATGGGCTGCCCAGGGCAAGAATCAGATCACGTGAT